TCATAATGCTAAGAAAAAAGGTTCCAAGAGGAAGGGGCATTGATGTCATTTTGCATGCTATTGTTTAACTCTAATCAACTTGTTTGCCATCCAGTACAGTAGGTATGATGCTTGGCAGGCTAACCTTATTTATATATTTGGCCTCAGAACTTAATCAGGATAACATTTCCCACTAGAAGCTCTATTCCCTAACCTCTCAAACAAGAAAGATTGCAGAGGAATTATTTCTTTCAACAGACATCTTAGAGCGCCTAATGCCAGGACCTCTGCTAGGCCTCAGGGATATGAAGATGACTAAGACTTTGTTCCTGCATTTAAAGATCTCAAAATCTAGTTTGAAAGAGAGCTGAATAAACCATTTTAATTTTATTTATTTGTTTATTTATTTACTTATTGAAACAGGGACTTGCTCTGTCGCCTAGGCTAGAGTGTAATAGTACAACCACAGCTCACTGCAGCCTCAACCTCCCTGGCTTAAGTGATCCTCCCAACTCAGCCTCCCACCCCCATCAGCGAGTAGCTGGGAGAATAGGTTCATGCCACCATGCCTGGCTAAATTTTTTATTTTTTGTAGAGATGAGGCCTCACTTTGTTCCCCAGGCTGGTTTTGAACTACTGGGGTCAAGTGATCCTCCTGCTTCGGCCTCCCAAAGTGCTGCAAATATAGGAATGAGCCACCACATCTAGCCAACAATTTAAATTTTATATTTAAGTGCAGTATAATAATTATTATGATAAATTATAAAGAAGCTTTGAGTGCCAACTATATGTGAGGAAGTATTTTCAACATTTACATATATTATCTACTTCTCACAACAGTCCTAATAAATGGTTAATATATTATTTTTATTTCTCATTTGAATGAAAAAACTGAGTCGCAGAGAAGTTATATACTCGTGAGGTCACACAGCTAAAAAGTGGTAGAGCCAGCATTCAGACTCAAGTAGTCTGACTCCAGACTGCAAGCTCTTAACTACTGCAGTATAATGATTCTCTGAAAACATGCTGGTTGTAGAGTAAGTTCCAACTAACTCAGGATAAAGAATCAGAAAATATAGTGTTTCTTCTGGACCTTGACAAATGGATAGGTCTAGGCTTCTTCAGATGGAAAAAACAGGAAAGCAGTCTAAGCAAAGAGGTAAATATAAAGGCTCAAGGAGTGAAAACACGTGTGCTGTGTGGGGAATGGTGAATAACTGCATGACTGGCCCGGGGCAGGAGACGAGACTAGAAGGTGGGTTGAATCCAGCTTGTAAAGGGTGAGGTGTACCATGTTGAGGCACCAAAAGTTGTTACTGTTTTCTGTTACACTTTATCTCTTGATTACAGCATTGCCCCCTTATAGAAGAAATGGACAGACTTCTGAATCTTGCAGGTTTCTTCCTCTAGTAACATCTCATGATTTGTTATGGGTAAATTGCTTTCTTTACATTTTTGTTTCCCCATAAAAATCTCACATCTTATTATACTTAAAGGACAAATATGTTTAGAAGCATTTAAAGTATTCCCCTTTTGAGCTTTGTTCTTTTAGATGGAAAACTAAGCAACCGAGGTAAAGTAGTTGTAGAAGGAAATTGTCTATTTGATTTGTGTCTGTTTTGATAGCTTCTGCCTTCCTCTAATTTATTCTTTCTTTTCTTTTCTTTCCAACAACACCACGTTTATTACATAAAAGACTGATATTCTGTTCCATCATTGTCATCATCACTAATGTTCGTGACCCACTAAAATGATTTCCCATCTCATCAGTGGGTTATAATCCATGGTTTGAAAAACACTGTAGCACATTTTATGCTAATCTGCCATGGATAGAGGGTTACCACTGTCCATGATACCTTGGCGTGAACTAGAAAAAGGTGCCCCTTCCTCAAGATGTCTAATTCCATCTGCCAAAAAATTGTCATAATGTGCTGACTTTGTTACAGTAAAATACTGTCATATGCCAGATAATGGTTAAAAATAAGTAAAACTTGATGTCAACATTATGAATGGTGTCCCCAATAAATAATTACGTTGTAAGCACCCTATGCACAACTGTACATATTTGCCCTGGTGGACACTAAACCAGATGACAAAACAGGTTGGAGTTGTTTGCTCAATGGATTATCTCAGAGTACCTGTATATCAGGGATTTGTGACAACTGTTTTGCCTTCTTAGGGCCTTCTGCTCATTTCCCAATTAGAATAGCCAGATAAAATACAGAACACCCATTTTAACTGGAATTTATATAAACAACAAAAAAATTAGTATGAGTATGTGCTACACAATATTTGGAAGACACTCGTGCTAAAAAAAATTCATTATATATTTCAGAATTGCTAAAAGAGCATATCTTAAATGTTCTTAACACAAAAAATAAGTATGTGAAGTCATGGATGTATTAACTAGCTTAACTAATGTAATTGTTCCACAATATTTACATATATCAAAAGATCACATTATATCCTATAAATATATACAATTATTATTTGTCAGTAACATTAAAAATTAAATATTTAAAAACATTCACTGTTATCTGAAATTTAAATTTAACTAGGCACCCTGTTTTTTTTTTTTTTAATCAGTGTTTAAGTTCAGGGGTACGTGTGCAGGATGTGCAGGTTTGTTACATAGGTAAACATGTGCCATGCCGGTTTGCTGCACACATGGTCCTATCACTTAGATATTAAGCCCAGCATCCATTAGCTGTTCTTCCTGATGCTCTTCTTCCTCCCACCGCCAACCCTCTGACAGGCCCCAGTTTGTGGTGTTCCCCCCATGGGTCCATGTGTTCTCATCATTCAGCTAGCACTTATAAGTGAGAATGTGCAGTGTTTGGTTTTCTGTTCCTATGTTAGTTTCCTGAGGATAACAGCTTCCAACTCCTTCCATGCCCCTGAAAAGGACATGATCTCATTTCTTGCTGTGGCTACATAGTATTCCGTGGTGTATATGTACTACATTTTCTTTATCCAGTCTATCATTGATGGGCATTTGGGTTGATTCCATGTCTTTACTATTGTGAAGATGGCTGCAATGAATATATGCATGCATGTATCTTTAAAATAGAATGATTTATATTCCTTTGGGTATATACCCAATAATGGGATTGCTGGGTCAAATGGTATTTCTGGTTCTAGGTCTTTGAGGAATCACCACACTGTCTTCCACAATGGTTGAAGTAATTTACACTCCCACCAACAGGTTTTTTTCTACACCTTGCCAGAATCTGTTATTCTGGCTGGCGTCAGATGGTATCTCATTATAATTTTGATTTGCTTTTACTTTAATGATCAGTGATGTTGAGCTTTTTTATGTTTGTTGGCTGCATGTATGTCTTCTTTGGAAAAGTGCGTATTCATGCCCACTTTTGAATGAGGTTGTTTGTTTTTTTTCTTGTAAATTTGTTTAAGTTCCATGTAGACTCTAGATATTAGGCCTTTGTCAGATGGATAGATTGGAAAAATTTCCTCCCATCTTCCTCTAATTTAAAGTCAGGTTTGGAAAGCACAGCAAGTCCTCACTTAACATCGTTCATAGGTGCTTGGAAACAGCAGCTTTAAGTGAAATGATGTATAACAAAACCAATTTTACCATAGACTAGTTGATATAAATAAGAGTTAAGAAAGATTTAAGAAAGATTAATAAAACAAGCAAGGTAATTATTTACCCCATTATTACAGTTCAGAGTCATGTGTGGCTGGAGCAGCTCAGGGCAGAAGGTGGAAACCTGCCCTGGCCAGGATGCCATTTCCTTGCAGGCTGCCCTCACACCCACATTCACTCAGACTATGACAATTTAGACACACCTGTTCACCTAAGGTGTACGTCTTTGAGATGTGATTGGAAACCAGAGTACCTGGAGAAAACCCACGCAGACATGGGGAGAAAGTACAAACTCCACACACAGTGGCCCGGGCTGGGAATCTGCCCCCCTCCCCACTTCCCTTTTTCCCCTCGTCAACATTATAAAAAAAAATGTTGAATGAAATGACTCTTTTCAAGGACCTGCTGTAGTTTCATTCCTTCTAAATTAATGGAGAAAAGCAGTATTAAAGCACCATCTTCCAAATAGATTTAAGGATTTAGAGGTTTTCCTTAAAAGGTAATCTAACAATTAAGTTGATGTGAAGGAATGCCACATTGGTCCCTGAGTTAGATCCAATGCTGAGGAATCTAGCTGCAGCCTAATTATCTTCTTCCTTATTTGTCTTCATAGCTATTTTGGACTAGCACTAAGCAGAGTGGAATTTAGGAAGTCACACAACTTCAGTCTGTGTTTTAAGAATAACTAAATTTGATGTCCTTGGTTATGCCTCCCTCACCTGTGGACAGCCACAGCAAAATTGTTGTTGGTGGTGTCTTTTTCATTTTAGGAGAAACTTGCTGGTCTTGAGTATCTTGTCACATTTTTTCCCAGTGAGAGGCAGGCAAGAGGTCAGTGATTCCATTTTCCCAACAGCTTCCAAGGGTCCTTCCTTTTTTTTTTTTTTTTTTTTTTTGGAGCTCTGTGTCACCGAATTGTAGTCACCTCTTTATCCAGAAACTGAAACAGCAGGCGTCTGTAACTCATGCTGGCAGCTCATGCTGGTTGAGTTTTTTGTTTGTTTATTTTCTTTCCAAGATGATGTGAAGTTCAGAGTCGATGAGTGCAGATTTTCTTAAAATTAGAACTGCAGGGAGGTGGCTTCAGAACTTTAAGAAAGGTAGCCAAAGGCTGAGTTAAAACTGGAGTACCCTAAATGGTGAGGTTTTACCATGAGGCAAATTCATATGCCTATACTTGTTTGGACCCAGGACCTAAATATGAGTGGTTGCAGGTTCATAAAATACATACTTTCTTGTCTATAAGCAGGGGGTTCCGTGAAGAAAAACATTTTCTTATAAAAATGCCTCATTCCTTCTTAGCACCACTACCAGTTGTTCCCTGTAGGTTTGCAATGTGGTTGTAAAATGGAAAAGCATTTTGTTTTCTTGGTGAGTACATGTCTTACCCTCTGGTTTCATCATTTCTATTTAGAAATTGAGCATGAGAAAAACAGTGCAAAGAGGGAGGAGCTGACAGAGTTGCAGCAAAAGCAGAGAAAGAGGCATTTCTTAGCTGCTAGATGCATCTTGGTCTGGATACTTTGGGACAGCTGCCGTTTTCTCCCACCTGTACAGGTATTATTGTCTCTCATACAAGGACTAGTTAAAACTCACTAAGCTGCCAACTTTTCCCTAACTTTCAGGATTGTCCAGGGTTAATAGTTATCCAGCAATAATACCTGCCTATGTATCGAATATTAACTAGGAGCTAGATCTACATATATAATTTCAAAGTTTTGAAACAACTCCATGAGGACAGGTATTCTAATCCCATTTTTGTTTGTGTATGTGAAGACATTGATGTTATAAGAAGTTAAGTGACTAAGCCGTGATCACACAGTTAGAAAGTGACTCAACCAGGATTAGAACCCAGATCTATCAGGATTAAAATTCTGTGCTTCTAACTATTATACTGTACTGCCTTTGTCAGAAGATGGAAGATTGAGATCTTCCAACCTCATGGTCAGGAAAAAGTAAAGCTGATGGATGGAATTATTTGCCTACAGGGATTTGGTAGTTTTATGAGAACATTTTTTCATTTTCTTTTTGAATGTCAACAAGCAGTTTGTCTGAGAAGAAAGTTGAGGTGGGGCTTGCCAGGAAAGTGCCTAAGGTGGAATGAACAGAAACCCCTCTCCCCAGACAGGTAAACACTAGTTTACTCACTGGCTTTTGTGAAGCCAGCAACTGCCATTGCCTCTTCTGAAAGAGTCACTGTTCACCAAGTGGCAGGTGCAGGCCAACTGTTACCATGGCAACAGCAGGAGAGGCAAGCAGTTTAATTCCAGAACTGATAATTAACTGGGGGGTATGGTGTGGGGTGGGGAGAAAAATGGGGGGATAATTGCTGCAGGAGGGAAAACTTAGCAATTACCAGCAAGTTGCATAAATGAAAAGGCCAGGCACAGATGCTCCAGCCCAGCATGCTCCTAGCTTTCAGCACTCATTCCCTCAGGTTAGGAATTTTTGATACACTAAAGTGAAGGGTTGAATCCCTAGCCAACCAAGTCTTTTTAAGGAATCACCTGAGGAAAGAAGATTGTCACGTAGGCTGTGAAAAGAAATACAGGGGGCCAGATGAATGACTACCCGAAATTATACCACTCACCCAGAAACAACCCAGAAATGCTATCTAAACTCTGCAGGAAGGATTCATACTTGGTGATAAAATAGGACCCATAAAGCATACTTGTGGGTGTCTACTTCTTTGGGTTGAATAGGGAAAACTGGCTTATTAGAAAATAAAAGGAGGACTCAAGGAAGTGATTAATTTGTTTAGGTACTTAATCATCATAGCTATTAGTCCATCAACCCTTCAGAGACTGTGTTAATGAAAGTAGCCAGCACTCACATGGATGATTATCTATCTCATTTAATCCTCAAAACAAGTTAGGAAGAAGATGCTATTAATATTCTCGTAACAGACTCAGAGATGTTCAGTACCTTGACCAAGGTCATAGAGCTAGTAAGTTCATGTACTGAATCTTATCCTATTGGGTTGTATTTTAAAAATAGAACCTATACTTTTCTATAGAGAAATCATGGTCCCAGTCTACAAAATAAGACTTCAGCATATATAAAAAATTTATAATAAAAAGGAAAATATTTTTTCTAGCAAAATAAGGTTAACTGCAAAATAAAATATCCTGAATGAGCAATATTGGAGAATATCCTTTTCTTTTGAGATCTATCAGGCTCATAGCTCAAGATTAGCCCTATGTCCCAAGCCCTGATCAGGTGAATAATGCGAGTCATGATTTTTTCCTAACTTGGTTCTGTGGCTCAGCTGGGTTAAAGCTCAGAAGAAGAGGAGACTTGTTGATATTAAACAATGCAGAGACTGTCCAAAGCTCATCTAAATGATCTGTTAGAACCAAACTTCCATGATGTATGTATTTTTCATGGGAAAAATACCATAATGTACAGCAAGACTTCCGTGTATTCCTTGGTGTGTGTATGCATATGTTAGAGAGAGAGAGAGAGAAAGAGAGAGACAAAAACAGATATTTTACTTTGAAACAGTGAGTCTCAGTTGGAGGAGAAACATGGCATTCATTCAGCAGAGTTTAGAGCACCTGCTTCATTCTAGCATTGTCTTTCGTGCTAGGGATATAACTGTAGAGAAAACATTCAAAGTCCCAGCCTTCAAAGAACTTATGCTATAGAATCTTAAGGTAAAGGAAGGTAAGTGATGTGTAATTTAAAGACACATTTTTAAGGACTCATTAATCCTTTCAAAATCTATTAAAGAAAATAAAACTTACTCAGTCTTTCTGGCTGGTAGGAAGGTACACAAAAGATAGAATAAGAATAAGAGAGCAGTAGAGGCTGGGTGCTACAGCTCACTCCTGTAATCCCAGCACTTTGAGAGGCCTAGGCGGGTGAATTGCTTGAGGCCAGGAATTTCAGACCAGCCTGACCAACATGGCAAAACTCCGTCTCTACTAAAAATACAAAAATTAGCCAGGCATAGTTGCACACACCTATAATCCCAGCTACTAAGGAGGCTGAGGCACCATAATTACTTGAACCGGGAGGTGAAGGTTGCAGTGAGCCGAGATCGTGCCAGTGCACTCCAGCCTGGGCAAGGAAGCAAAACTCTGTCTCAAAACAAACAAACAGAGCAGTAGAGGTTGATAATCACTATTTAAAACTGTGAGCTTACTCTTGATTTTCCAGAGGTTTGACAAACTAATAAGTTAATATTGCCTTTGCAAGGGAAAAAAATTAATATCAAAATTTGGGAGCTCAACTGACACAGTAATTATGCTGGAAAATGTAATTTTGCCTCCATAATAGAGATGGGATTGTTTCAAGAAGATCTCATTAATGTGCTGTTCATCAACAAAAAGCAGTGTAACCTTTCTTTTATTAGATTAATGCAGGGTTGTGATGCAAAAGGCTGTTGGAATAATTCTCACTCCTTTGTTCTAAGAAAATAAATTAAGTACCGTCTTAAAGTCTAGATACGGAAATTAAAATCATTGAAGACAGAAAAACAGTGTGACCACTCATTCCAAAATCTCCATGAGCCTTCTGTCATTTCTATACAATTCATTCCTTTATCCATTTATGAAACAAATTTGATGAAGTGTCTACTATGTGCTAGGTAGTGCTAGATGTTGGAGCTATAGTAGAAACTGAAACCAAATGCAGTCCTTGTTTTCATGGTGCTTACCACATGGTGAATGGTCTCTCCACATTTCAGGGGCATATATTTATTCTGTGTCTGCTCAACTCACATTAAAAGATCGGCAACCTACTAAAACATGCATGTCACTTGTAGCTGTAAATGGAAATCTCCCAATGCAGGGCTTTCTAGATATATTAGACTAAATACTATTTTAGTTGTTAGTTTACTCTTCTAAACTAGGGTTCCATGGTCCAATAAGTTTGGCAAAGGCCACCCTCTTGGAGTTCCACAAGTATCATGATGTGATAAAGACTTTGAGCATCCTCGTGATAATGAAATATGTTTACTTTGTTTAACCTGACATTCCCAAACTTATTGACTGTAAGACTCTTTTAACCCCTATCACATAAATGTTCTTTAGAAGCTGTGTTCCTCAAGATATACTATGATGCATGCCGCTTTTTCTCCACTAGGTGTTGGGACTTGTTGCTAATGACTGACATGCAGAAAGAGAGTATAAAAAAATGTAGAGTCATTTCCTTTGTTGAAATCATCTCTTCACCGTACTTTGGGACTTTGGGACTTCTAGAACTTTTCTCTGCTATTATTCATGTAATCTATTTGTACGGCAGTTAAAAGTGTAGCTATCAGGGTAGAGAAAATGAAGGTAATACATATTCCTGGGAAAAGGAGGCCCAGAGAGGGCTGCTCAGATTTTTTTAAAAATTGCCATTAAAAAAAAAAAACAAAAAAACAAAAAAAAAACTTGGATGTACATAATTCCATATAAAAAAGCCACCATAAATAAGTTTTGTGTTCTTTTCATCTTAATTGATTTTTTTCCCTATTTTTAATAATAACAAAGCAGTGGTACCACTGTAAAACAAGCATCCAGCACATTGCCTAGCACAGAGTAGACACTCAAATCTTGGTTAAATGAATAAATGAATCAGGCAGTGACAAGGAACATTACTAAGTATAAAGCAATGCAGAACAATTACATTTTTCCGGTTTTAACTCATTGCATAAAGTGGGCCAATCCTTTTATGTCTTGATAGTGCGTCTTACATCTAAAAGCTAATACATGTTTATCATATGTTGGGAAGAACCAAGAAAACATTTTGCAAACCCTTAAGTACTCCATCTAAGGAATAGTAATTTTTTTTCACCAATGATCATGGAATTGCTTTAACTTTCAATGTGTGGGAAATTTCTCTAATATGGCCAGGCGATGCCAAATGGATTATAAACTAGGATCACAGTATTCTGACTAAAGGCCAAGAGAAAACGGCAGTGAGACCAGGATATCAGGCTTTCATTAGAACCTCGCTGTCTCAATTTTCTCATCAGTCATATAGGAGCAGTAGTACCTGCTCTGTATTAAGAATCAAGTAATGATAGTATATAAGAAATACAAATAAGAAGTGTAAATTGTGTCTTATACCCTTTAAAGGTGTAAAGTGCTAAACAAGTGAAATAAGAGTGAAATAAAGATAAGTCTTTTATAATGGTATCTGTTAAGACATAATTGTATTCACAACCTGAGGCTTAAATATGAGTCATTTAAACATTTACCGGAAATGACAAAGGCAACAAGAAAATTGACCTTGATTCAGCACCTTTACAATTTACAGGATGTACACAGACATCTCATTTCCATATTCTGTCAATCCTGAGAGGTGGTTTTGCTATTTCCATATTACATAGATGAGGATATTGAATGAGTATAAGTGACTTGTCCAAGTTTGCCCAGCTAAAACTAGAAGTGGCAGGAGTTGAGTAAGGCCTTCCTGTCCTACATCCCATGGCTTTGCTCTCCTAGCTACTTGTGTTCAAAACATAACTCTTGTTTTCTCCTCCGTCCTCCAAATTCTCCTACACTTTGCCTTCTTAGTAAATGGCATTATTCTGTCTCAGGCCAGTAGCCGAAGAATTATCCCCA